CTTGTGTCTTGTGATATGATTCCAAAGAGAGTAGATAGAGAATTTGCTCATCAACTACTATGTACTCAGATCCCCATACGACGGCCTGCGATGAAAGCCACTTGTTGGTGGTTCGACTTACGGAGTTCCCTGGCAACGATCAAAGTCGTCCATCGTTCCCCAGGGGTTTTGGCAGTGAAGATTTGGGTGATGGGGGGAGTCTTGATGCTTGAAGTTGAGGGATTCTGGGCTTTAGTGTGAACTTCCCGAAAGACCCAAACCTTCAGTCCGACCAGCAGTAGAATCAGTAGACCCATGCCCCCGGGCTGCAGTGAGCATCTGCCTGCGGAGGATCAGCGAGTGCGGCCGCTTCGGGTTCCTTGAGGCGCCATAGCATGAAAGTTGGGTTGTTGGGTTTAGGCTCGGGAGCGAGATCTCCCTCCGATGTCTTTCAATTTGGGCTAATTTACAAAAGTACTTCGGAGTGAGGATAGGTTTCTCTGAAACAGATGGTGCACCTGCTTTGGAAACGTGGTCCCAAACGCTTACCTGGTGTTCTTGCAGAAGGTCCTCCAGACCCCGCGCAACACCAACTATGCAATCTTCAGCAAGCCCAGCCTCATGGCCTTTCGTTGCGAGTCGCTCAGTGGAGAGGCAGCAACCGAACGCATCGCCAGCACCATCATTGCCGGGGGCAGGCCGGAAAGGGAGGACAGGGGCAGAAGAGCTTGCATGGTGCTGTGGGGCTCACGTGAATGCAGCCACGTGCGGCGATATTTCTTTAATCCTGTCCAAAGAAGTTGAGAAAGATATCCTGCGAAGCTTGTGTCTCATGGTTTTGGGATCCAGGGTCGGAAGTACCGTGTCTTTGTGTAGATCAAGCTTCATCTGGCAAAGAGGGGCGGCCGGGGGAGGCACGTTCGCAGCAGCCGTACACGCCTGCATGCCTTTGTTCCCGTGTTGGATGGCGTTAATCTGCCGCCTCCTCTATTCTTGTTCAAACGTCGATGGTAGTTATTTCGACGGTGATGGCGCGGTTTTGTTGAAGGTGGGGGTGGTGGTGCTGCTGCTACTGCTGCTGCTGCTGCTGCTGGTTCTGGTTCTGGTGCTAGTGTTGGTGGCCGTGGTGGCGGTGGCGGTGGTGACGATGGAGATAGTGATGGATGTAGTGAGGGTGAAAGCGGTGATGCCCACGATGATGACGAAGCGGTGATGCTGATTTCTATGAAGACGGAGATGGAGATGGTGCGGGTGGTGGTTATGGTACTCATACTCGCCCTGAGAGTGACGATGCCGGTCGTGATGACGACTATATTGTCTTGGTGTTTTGCCGCGATGGTCATGCTGGCATATGACTATGGTAATTATTTGCGTTGTTGCCGCTCCTGTCACCTTTCTCAGCTCCGCCATTGCAAGTCAGTCCTCATAGTTCGCAACAGGCTAGAGTTGGCCAACGGCATGCATCTGAAGACGGGCTGGCCAGCGTGGGAGCTCAGGTTTGGGTCTAGAGGGGAGAAAAACTTGTTATAACCGCAGTTCTAGTAGTGCTGATGGATAGGGTCTATGTTTTACAAAGCTTGGATAGGGTATTCAGTTGTAACTAGTGTACAGATTTACGGCTTCTAGTCCTATTTCTAATTACGAACAATGAAAGGGGGATGGAGAGCCCATGCAAGTATGCTCTTGTGGCATTTGGCCAGTTTGTCAAGTCTGGGGCGAAGCTGTCGCCAAACGGCTTCATCGGACTATGATCTCCATCAGCCGTGAGTCTTTGCACGGGCCAGGAGAGTACTTTCTCTGTCTGTCTTACGAAGCATCTGAAAGCTTCGCTGACTAGGTGCCACACGGATGGTGCACAAAGCAGCCTCAATACTCAGCAAGAAGCAGCAGCCCGTACCAGATGTTCATGAAATCTCTGCACAACAAGCCTCGCGCAGTTGTATCGGGGGCTGTTTCAACTCAAAGTCCAATTTACGCGAAGCCTTGCCGGGCGCTATCAGCTTGGCCCGGAGCGAAGAGTACTGCACCATAGCCCCATGTGACACAGATCTCTCTTCACCAAGGTTGGTGGTGAACATGGGGAGGAGCATGCGGCCCCGCCCATTACACCCGAAGGAGGCCTCTCATTAGCTTTAGGGTTTCGGGTTGGGTTCTGGATTTCCGGAGGCCGTCACAACGAATCCTTGTTGCCCGGGCAGGCGACGGTGAGCGGCTGCACCTTTGCAAGGCTGGATGTCCCAAACAGCCTGAAGGATCTCGTGGTATTGAAGTGTCAAGGTTTCTAAGCCATGTATTCCTAAGCTTGCATGTTCGTCTGAAATCCCGTAGTATCCAGCTCCCCCGATAGTTGGAGTCCAGCGTCTGGCAAGCTTCTTTCAGATGGGACTGGAGCTGAAGGAGGCTTGCAAATTTGGTTTCTCAAAGTGACGGAGGGTGCGAAGCGGGCTAGCGGGCAAAATGTCTCGGAGCCCACCCGGGTGCTGGAATCTGGAAGCTCCACAAGCCTTAAGACACCGAATTTTCAGAGCTTAAGACACGTGCTCAGCGCCTGACCACTCAGAGCCCATGTCCAAGACCCTTCAAGCTTGAACACTTGAGCCTGGAGCTCCACTGAGGGACGACGAGGGCCGATCGAATCGACAAACGTTGTGATGGATGTGGACGAGAGCGACTTTGTGGAGAAGACGCCCGGCTGCAGCCAAGGAGCTCGTTCTTCCAATACAGGCGTCCACATCAAAAGAAAGACACTCAGGAGATCTTATTTCGCATCCGGCCTGCACCCCAACTCGGCCAAAGCCGGCACTGTAGGGTTCGGGCTCTTTTTGTCTCGGGTCGATGTCCTTTCCGAGCTTCATAAACGCAGGGCTTCGGGCTTCAAGGCCAGACAATTGAGACAGTGTCGAGACTTCCTTTGGATGCCTCGGCCCCAACCACTGCATCTTTGATCCCAGACCATTGAACCAATAAGGCAACACAGCTTGGCATTGTTTCGCAGCGAGAAGTTCCCCGTTCCAACACTCGAAGAGGGCTATGCTATGCCGCTATGCCCCCCCTTATTAAGACTAAGATGGAGGACTGGGGGTTCTTGGGGCTCCATGTTGGTTCCAAGCAGGGGAAGAAGCGCTGTCGCGCTGCTCCTCTGGCTCAGGATGGAATGCGAAGTTTTCCTCGGCGGCACTCAGTCACTCAAGGCTCGACACCCTTGTGCCTTTCGTTCTCTAGGGGAGGAGAGGGAGAGGGAGAGGGGGGGGGGGTGCCCCGGCTCTGGAGCTTCATTCAGGAGCTGAAGGCTGATGGACATTTGGCCTTTGGACATTGCATTCACTTAAAAGTTTCAGACTGCCTCGTGCTCGCGCTTGCGATAGAGTGTGGCCATCCTCCCGGACTTCGGAAATACATCTGAACCTTGCGCCCAAGTCTTTTGAGACATGACCATCATGGCTTGCTGATGGCGCTCACAGCGAGGATTGGAACAAAGACACATGCGTCAGAAGCTAGTCTCATGAACCCGGCGCTATCGAATCAACATTTAATTTAGAAAGAAGGCGCTCTACCGCAAGAAGATTAAAACAAACACACTGCAAAAACGACATACGAGATAGACTACGGCTCAGGGAGACACAACCAGCCACGTTTCAGGGGTAAGCATCTCAGCGGCATGGACGACGATGCTGTAACACCAGCAGCAGAAACCTTTGCCACCACCAGCTCCTCCAGTGCCACTAGCCCAATCAGCCCCACCACCAGCACCACCACCAGCTCGACCAGTCACCACTACCACTGTCCCAAGCTTCAGCATCGGCATGAGCATCAAGCGCAGGATAACCGGCTTGTCTCAGCTCAATTGCACAAAGATAGTGAACTGGATTTCGAAGCCGATCAGGGAAAGCGCACAGGAACCTCTTACCTGCAGCAGCAGTGATGCAGGCAGAAGCTATATGGGGAACGCTTGCGGACCGATTGACTGCCCCGGCCTCGTCGCTTTTACCACTGTTGCCGCCAGTGCGTCATCTTCCTCTCTTCGTGTGAGTTGTATCGTTGTCACGGCACTTTGACGACTTTTTCATGCCAACAACAATACTGGAAGGAGTCACAGATCGCAGCGGCAGCAGCCGCAGCAGCAGCAGAAGTGTTGGTAAAGGTACCGGTAGCAGGTAGCAATCGTCATTTCACCATTCTCCTGTAATCGTCAGGAACTTTATTTTTGCAGACATTCTGGGTTTGGCATATTTGTTTGGGCGTGCTATGTCGGCAACCATCTTCAATCAACCCGTATAGCTTGGACCAACGAAGATGGAGCCTGTCGTGCCGGGCACGAAATCCACCAAGTCTTGTGTCCTAAGCCTGGAACGCAAAAAAGCGGCATAAGGAACTACCTTCCTTCAAGCGGGAATACTCGACGCTGCCTGGGCCTCAGTTCCGGTGTCTTGTTTGATCTCCTGACTCCTGCCTTGGTAGCCAGAAAGCCCAAGCCAAAATCTTAACTTACCTCCTGATCCCGCCTAAAGGTTGAAGGCTTAGACTGAAACCAAACATGCAGAGGCGCTTCGGGTGTTCGGGTCCCTATGAAGTTTCGAAGGATGCTGTAGAGTTGAGGTTCAATGGGAGGTTGGGAGTCACAGCTTCGAAGAAGAGCTGAGGGTGGAGGGATGCAGGGGGTCGGGATGTTGCAGGCAAGCCTTCACCGTAGTACATGGGACGAGCATTAACCTAGGTATTGTTGTCAACAGCCTGTGTCTTGTAGCGATTGATCATCAATCACGGCTTGTCAGTTTGAGGGTGTAGATGTCGAGTGTGCGTGTTAGATGACTGATTATACGCGTTAGACTGCAGAAGGACACGCCCGCTCTGCACTGCAGGAATCACATGCCCGAATCTTTGGCTTTGAGCCTCAAGCTGTTGGTAGCTGCAACATGCTTCACGCGACGCTGACGCCTCGTAGACATCCCCCCGCCCGAAATCCACTCAGTACCCCGGTTCCCCGGTTCCGGTGATAGTCTTCATGAAGTGTGGCCGCAGCCATGGGAACTGCCGTCGACCAGGACAGCTAACTACAACTTAAAATCCTCAACCCTTCTAAACCGACACCGAGTTACTGGGATCAATGGTCCAAAGGGCGCTGGAACTTGGTGCAAGTAGCTCCTTGGGAACCAGTCGCAAGGACCCAACGTAGAGTCAGGTTGAAGCTGAAGCTTCCATTCGTCAATACAAACCCGCGAGGAGGTTATCAGGTTCACAAAGGCTATCAGCGCTTGCGGCAGGGCTTCGAGGCATTTAACCTCGGATTCGCTTGCGTTCTGGTTAAGGTCAAGGAACTACTCAATTCTTAAGTTACCGCACTAGGTTTCTAGGGCTGATAGAAGGATCTTTGGACTTAGCAATCAAGTTTGTCTTTTCTTTGGGGAGATACAAGTACTGTTAGTTGCGGTTTGCCCTGCTCAGAACCTGCTTGATACGTCCCCTGAGACTGTACATGGAAGGAGCGTTTTAGATAGTATGCATCGTCGGAGTTTGCGATAGTGAGCATCCCATCATTTGGATACATTGAAGCTTACGGGAAGTGTGGCTCTGAGGAAGAAGGTGTCTCACAAATTTGCCAAGCCGGTCTCGCACTTGCTTCATTGGATTTCATAGGGGAAGGCTTGAGCAGAGGGCAAAGCTGCTTTCGGAGAGTCGTGCTTATGGCCATGCAACTTTGCTACGTCATTGCATATCTCTTACTGCATGGCATGCAAAACTATCACGGCACTTCTGTGGACGACTTGCATACGCTGGGTTCATCCGAACTGGAACCGATTGACCAGTGAAGCCTGAACTTGAAGCATACTCACTATCTCGAACTTCCCAAGAAGTCAAGCTTACAACGAATGCACAGGTGGCAGGAAGCATGCAGCCTCCTCGAAGATTCTCGGCAGAACGAGGGTCAGAGTGCATGTGTCCTACACTTTGGGCGCCGACCCTCGACCATACTTCTGCAAGCTTCCTGAACTCTGGTGTTCCTTCAGTATCCTCACGCCTTCCTCATAAAGCAGTTCACACGGATGCTTCCTACTCCGGAGCTTCTCGGATAGAGCCTTCCAGTTTCCATCAGAGACAATAGTTGGACACGAGTGTTCTCATAAGAATGCCACTCCAACAGGCACCCATAGGAAGAAGCCCGCAAATCGAGCCTGTCACAGCACCACGGACCAAGGAGATGCAAGTGAAGTCGGTGTGGGGAAACACCTTCACTTACAACGCGGCCATTGGTGCTTTGGGAAAGGGTCGGAAGCTGTGCTGCAGATTTGCGGGTTCGGAAGATTGCGCAAAAGCCCGAGTGTGTGAAATTTCGACGCCACTGTAAGGCAATGGCAAAAAGCTCTGGGCCTTTTCTACGGTCTTCAAGCCGCGACCGTGGACAAGGATCTGGTCTCCTACAACACCGCACCTCGTTGGCTAGGTTGCTTTCTCTTCCTAGTGAAGATGTGTTGAGCAGCCCCGCAAACCTGTGGGGCCTAGGCCTAGTAATATAGGGTGGATACACGGCACTAAGGCCATCAATGCATGCAAAGACGCCGGGAGATGGGCCGCGGCTTTGTCCCTGCTCTCCGAAGTGCCGAGGCTTGCAGACCTAGGTAGCGGGGGCAGCTTGAACGCTTGCAGTCACTTGGAAGACTGAGGTGCTCTCCTGTGGCCTTCAAGCAGACCTCATCACTTTCAATGCTGCCCCTGGGCTGCTTGCAGAAGCCCATGCAAATCTTCGACCCTACTTTCCCAACCTTATGTAAAGGGTTCGGAAAGTCTAGGCACTCTTGGGCTTTCGGGTGCAGCTGCTTATCAGCAGCCAAGGCCATCGGTGCTTGCGAGAAGTCGGGGCAGTGGCAGCCCGCCTTGCAACTGCTTCAAGCTTTAGAGGCCGGCCGCTTTGGGGGGTTTGGAGGGGCTTGGACGGCAACATTGTCGGACCTGGCGGATGACCGGATGTTCTACTTAAGGATGTGCTGCGCTCATGTTGGGACATCGGAGCCTTCCTTTTGGAGTCTCAGGGAACCGTGTGTCCTTTCGAGCACGTTTCTGCTGCTGCCAAAGCCTGCACATGGGTCTAGGGAGAGTCTAGGGAGATCATGGAGAACGCATCCAAAGCCTCCTCTCCACGACCAGAGATCTCGGGGGTGAGGAGCTGGAGCATCAATGAAATGGACTAAGCCGATCGACTTGTCAAGGCTCTGCGAATATGTGCCAAAGAAGATGTATAAGATTCCGGGCACAAGCCCGAGACTTGCACCTGGAAACGTCAACATTCTTAGACCATCTCAGACCGCAGCAGCCAAAATTGAACCGTCCAGGATCGCAAGCTCGTACCCCAGGCTTGGGACCGTGGCTTTTTCTGACGGTTGCTTGCGGGCCGGTCTTGAAATTGTGGAGTAGTGGGCTGTTCACTGAGCTCTGGGACATGCATGCGTGGCTTATACTTAGTGCAAACCACTCTTCGTCCAGTGAAGACTTGGGAAAATCTTTCTGTCGGTCGGTCCTGTGCCACCAACTCAGCACTCTCGCAACTACTAGGGCCGGTGTGTAAATGATTTCCGCGGCCGAGTCGTGAGTATACAGGAATCTCACTAAACTACGTGAGCCTAGTACAGACCGTAAACAGACCTTCAACACAAGGACGCCTCTAGCAAGGACCAACTTGCCCCGAATTTCTCAGGCTATGAAGGGCTCCAACCTGGGTCATGCCATGCCCTGTCTTCGGAAAGTTGCGTAACCCTAACCCAACTCCCCGCCCCCTCGGTGCAACCCGTTCTTCAGTTCTCCTGCAGTCAGGGGTTAGGCTACAGGTAGTGCACCTTTCTGAGCCTTTTGCTTGACGTTGCCTGCATCAGAGGCCATGACTTGGGTTGGGCTCATCAGCGCTTGCAGCCGTGCAGGGCTCTGGATGGAGGTTGGGTTTGGAAGTTGTCGTCGAAGTTTGCTTGAGGCTGCGTCTGAGTTTCGAGGGCTCAAAGAATTTTGCAGGTTGCAAGGACCTGCGGTCCATGGAGGCTTCAGGGTACAGACAGAGCAGGGTATGTGAGAGGGCAAGCTCGAATGCAGATGTTTAGGCTGATGCGAGTGTTCGAGCCTGTCCAAGTCCAGCGACATGCTAGTTTTGCGAAGGCTGCCCTTGGGCTTCAAATCCTGCTTTCCTAGCAGGCCTCGGTTTACACGCTTATACTTCAGCGATTATGTGTGTGCGCAGAAGCAATCGAAAGAGTATGTATGCATATGTGTATAGTATGTGTACATGTATATGACTGCATGTATGTATGGATGTGTGTATGCCTACCTGCCTGCCTGCCTGCCTGCCTGCCTGCCTGCCTGCCTGCCTGCCTGCCTGCCTGCCTGCCTGCCTGCCTGCCTGCCTCCCTGCTGCCTGCCTGCATGTATGTATGTATGTATGTATGTATGTACGATACTGGAGTATGTTAGACTAGGCTAGACTAGACGACACCATACACTACATATGTAGTGTTCCTAAGCTGTGCTATGTGACTGTGCCATGCCCTGCCATACCATGCTATACTCTACACGATGCTAGATAAGATCATACTATATACTAAACTTTACTAAACGTTGTACTCTAGTACTGTATACTATTATACTATGTACCAAATACTCTTCACTGTGTACCCTACTCTATAGACGCTAGACCAGACTCTCTGTACTGTATGCATGCTTGTATGCTCACACATGTGTATATATATATATATGTGTATCTAGACATATAAGTATATATATATATATGTTTATCAATTAGCATGTGTGTTGTTGCATTTTAAGTGTGTGTCTTTCTAAAATCGGATCTGGGCAGGCTCTTGGCTATTTGTCTCGGCACTTGACCGACGAGCCGCAGTCTCCCAGCGCCATCGTGCAACTCGAGCGCGAGGGTTTCCTACTGTAGAGATCATTACGATTACAGTTATAATTTGCAGTTTTATGACGATGACGATGATGGTGATGATGATTCTCCTCATTGTGTGCGCAGCTCGAGGGAGGGAGGCGGAGAAGCAAGGCTTGGCATCGTTACTGACCATGAGTGGCATTCCGTGTGTGCGTGTGAGACTTCCAGAGTGATGCTGTGGAGCTGCCTGAGACAGTACAGCGATTGTGGATGTTTTTAATCGGAGTTCCGCCTTCCTGGCATGTCAATGGCTCTACCTCAAGATTCGGTAGCCAGCTCCCTGTCATCGACGTTGCTCCGAAATCTGACGTTTGTGTTAAGGAATCTCAGTTAAGTGGCCATTATACATGAAAGAACATGCAGAACCAGGTACATTTCCATGATGGTAACTTTATATAAACTTCCTATCCTCAACCCGGACGAAGCCAGCTACAAAGCCGTGCGCAAGCGCATCGGGGCAACTTAATGATTAAGCTCCCTAGCAATAGCCGAGATCTTGCTCAGGTTGCATCCTACATGCCTGATGATGTAGCCGAGGTACAGCGTGACCATCAGCGCCTGCGACAAGGCCGGCCAGTGGCAGCAGGCACTGTCATTGCTGACGCAGTTGGAGCAGCAAAGCTTGGAGAAGAACGTGGTGTGCCTTAGATGCATTCGTTTCGAGCTGCTTCCGAATTTAAAGTGCGGTTTATGTGAGGTTCAGGAAGACTCAAAATGTTGCTTTCCCTTCCATGGAGTGCTAGGGAAACTGCGGGAGTATTGCTGAGTCCCGCCTGCTGGGGCTTCCGTTATGTTGACTCCGCTGTTGCGTAATCTCCGCGCAGTTCCTCTCAGAGTTTGACTATTACACCGGAAAACCTGGGCTTGCAGTCGGTTCCTGAGTTCATGTAGACTGAAGGTGCCAAAACGCGGCGATGAGTGCTTGCGTCAAGTGCACCATGTGGCCGCTGGCTGTGCAGCTGTTCGCGGATCTCAAAGCTTTCTGGCTGAATGAGTGACTGTGCAGCTCTTCCTTTTTCAGTTTCAGGAGAGCCGTGGCTGGCATATCAGTGGTTGCGGCGAAACACATCGAATAAAGCACACGCTCCAGAGAGTCAGGCATGAGTAGAGCTTGCGAGACTGCGGGCGCAGAGACTGAAGCACGGGTCAGGACACAATGAAGCATCCTGCCCTTCATAGTCTCCACAAAAGTCGCGTCATTTCGCGTCTCGGACCTTCGTTTCTTTTCAATTTCGCTAGGCCGCAACTGCACAGCCACCTGCAACTTCCCTGCAGGCTAAAGCGAGCGTGGTGTCTTACAACACTGCCATCGCTGCCTATGATCGTGGAGGCTGCGATGTTGAGGCTGCTTGAGAGAGTTTCGGATCTGCAGGATGAACCTGCGACTAGTTTGGGCGGTTCACTTTGTCGGGTCGAGCTTCCCGTCTCCCACACAGGTTGAAGACCATTTTGTCAATCTGGAGTCTAAAACATTGGGTCGCTGAACAGATCCACAGCCAATTTCAGACTATACTTGAGCCCGAACCCTAAACTGGCACTAAACCCTGTGGTCCGCTTGGTTTTCCGTGTTCATGGCTGAGTAGAAATGCATCCGCAAAAACAAAGAAGACGCAAAACATCCCGCAAAGCTCTAAGCTGGAGGCCAGTGGCACATCGCGCTGGCCATCTTTGCCGAGCTGTTGACCAGCCGGGCACAGCCAGATCTCGCGACTCTCTTGGAACATTTGGAGCCACAGGTCGTAGTTTGTATGGCTAATTCGCCACAAAACTGAGGTGTCCTTCAACACTGCAATTAATGCATGCAAGGACTTGAACGGGGGAGCATGGGAGGAAGGGTGACTTTGGATTCTGCCTAAGTTAGCACTGCAGTATATGAGCCGGCATCCTACTCATACAATGCATTGAGGCCTTAACCCACCAACGTCCGAGCAGCAGGCTGTTGGACGACCCAGGAACAGAATGAAAGCCGGTGTACCGACTACACACACGTGCATACACATATGTTTAGTTACGCACATATTATATATATATATGCACACATGGGCTGCGTTCTAAATTCGCGTGTGGGTAGAGTTATTTACTTACATTGACATTAATGCATTGACGGGGAAGCTCTTTTGCTCATCGCTATGAGGCGGCACGCAAGTAGAGCCACTTATTACGGAAGGAGGCGCTAGGAAAACAGCTAGATTCGCGCTAGGCATGATTCGAACCGCATGATGTCGCATGCTCAAGCTGAAGCTGTCTTTTATATCCCATACCCTAACCCTCAAGGCCCAACCGCATCAGAGTAGCTGAACAGCACTCGTTGTTGTCGTAACGGGAGTAATTGTAGGTGTCTTTAGGAGGTCTCTGCCGCGCTGCCGATTGGAGCTTGCAGCGAGGTCATTTTTGTCATACTTTGCACTACTACGTAGTCTTGGTTCTTTGATGTAGCCTAGGCCGCAGTGTGCCTCACGGCACGGTGGACTTTCTGGCACTCACTCTCCGACGGGCCTCTGGCTCGTTCGGTCGGCCGCAGTGTGCCTCACGGCACGGTGGACTTTCTGGCACTCACTCTCCGACGGGCCTCTGGCTCCTTCGGTCGGCCGCAGTGTGCCTGGCACGGTGGATTTACTGACACTCACTCTCCGACGGCAGATCGACAAGATATCCTGGTGCCGTCTCAATCTGTTCCAGGTGGGAGCTCAACATGTTCTTGTACGGGGATGTCGCAACCGAAGTGCACCTGGGTCTTCATTGCATCAGGCAAAGGACAGCGCGTGACAGTCCGAGAGCACGGTTCAAAAATTCAAGACGGCCCAAAGCTCTGCCGGAAGGAGGTGTTTCACGTGCCAGCTGCATGGCTGCATGGTTATTGTTCAGGGCTTGCCGGGCTTGCTCGGTGTCGGGTTTTGCTGTGTGCACACATGTGACACGCAGCAGCTGTCCTCCATTTTCGGTGTGCAGGTAGGTTTGTGACCTTCGCGTCTGGAGCAAAAGTCGCACGCAGACACAGTCACAGCCGCAGCAAAAGCAACATGCGAAGCACAGAGAGTTCGCAAGACAGGGCACGGATCAGAAAGGCGAACGGAAACCGACGCAGAGCCGAATCGCTGACGCATCATGAGCTTCGGAATCATCTCGAAGCGACTGCGCCACATCGCGGCACAAGGGTTGGACTAGCAACGTAGGATCCCCATGTCCAGTTCCAGTCTACTCTGCAGTTTTAGTCTGTCTTGTTCCAGAGCAAAATCTGCTCCGGTACGCTTTTCCCTGCTCGCAGGCTCGAAGGCGGCAAGAAGAAGTTCGAGCCTTGGCAGCCGTGCTCCTGTTTGCCCTGTCTACCTGCTGCTTTTGCTTGCTTGTAGTTTTGTGCTTTTCCACGCTTTTGCTTTTCTGCTTCTCTGCTTTTCCGCTTCTCTGCTCGTCTGCTTCACTTTCTGTTCCTCCGCTTATCTGCTTTTCCGCTGTTCTTTCTGCTTTCTGCCTCTGTTTGCTTCTCGTTTTCTGCTTCCTGCTTCTGCTTTTCCGCTGTCTGCTTCACTGCGTTTATGCTTAGCTCTTATGCTCCTCCGCTTTTCTGCTTGTCTTCACGTTGCTTTTTCCAGCACCCCTAAGCCCTCAACCCTAGTAAACTGAGGCATCAAGCCCGAGCACGACCGTCGACCCGATGCAATGGTCTCAGCAAAAATGACACTATTAACACTTAATCACGAAATCAGAAATCTGGTTACCCGGATTCGCCAAATGAGGGGGCATGTTTAAGATTATGACGAGTCCAGGAATCAGGGGTCCCATTCTTCGGTGTCCATATAGCTCACAGGTCCAGCATGTTAGCGGGCTGCTTGGCTGATCAGAAGGTAAGTTTGACGTATTGCCACGGCCTCGGATTCGCGATTGTAGAGCACGTAATTTTAACTAGCATGATGGGCGCTAAAATGTCTATCTTGTAATCCCAAACCTTACAATACCAGACAAGTCAAGACCCATCAGATGGCTCGATCGGTTCTCTAAAGCTCACCCCGAAGTCAAGATCCAAGACATGCTCTGAGACTCGAGGAAGCGATACCCCTAGATGCTTTTGTTGCCCTTACTATTACGATGGCTGCCGTTAATTAGTTTGATTTGAGATGGTTGCTGCTAATGTTATGATCATTATGGTTATGGCGATTAGTAATGTTATTGTGTTTTGTTGTCAGCGGCATTGTCACTGGAGTCGTGTAGTCAATGGGAGGGCGAAGTTCCAACGCTCAGAGATTTTGAAGTCGTTCATGAAAGTGTTTGGCAGAGATGCTCCTAATTGCCCAGGAACATACTAGAAAAAAGGTTCTGTAGTCCATGAGGTCGGCTGACCACGTGATGTTGACTGTCAAGTGCTGATTGTGAGACTGTCACATGTCAGACACAGCCAGAGCATCTTCAAATAGAGGCGGCCATGGTCATCGTCTTCAAACTGCTGTCCAGTGCACACATCAACGCCCCCAGACCTCTAGACCCCAAACTAGAGTGGTACCTCAGTCCCATAAGTCTCCTTCCCAGCGGAGCCTTTCCGGCCAGGGGGTCTTGACATGGGTGCCTGGTTTAGCATTCAGCTCTCCGAGACACTTGCAGAGGGGTCCAGGGTTGAAAGGAGTCTTGAGGAAGATAGGTTCGAGGGTTTCGGGTTGGGGTTCAGTACGTTCAGTACTGACAGCGAGTCAGAATTAAGGGTTGGGATCTAAGCAGGGTTCTTGGGGCATTCGCTCTAGCACTGCCGACCGCCTGGTTTAGGGTTGAAAGTTTGTGGTGGAGTACACGTGTGACACAGCCGATGGCTACGCCGCATAGAGAACCGACCGGCGTGTCAGGATCAGTCTTCCTGGACAACCCGCCGCCGACGGGTTCCTCCTTCCTCAACCAGGCGCCGGACACCATGTCGCAGCTCCTTCGCCGAACTTGGACAGGATGGCGGCGGAGTCGGCGACAGCGTCGGGGACTACCACGCCGGGGGTCAGGACGAGGCTCGACGCACAAGGGGTTAGCCACAGGCTCCCGCCGGATGGCGCCGTCAGCCCTCAGTCTCTGCAGTTGTCGCGACCGGCGTCCCCACCGAGAACTTCGACGACGATCCCAAAGCAGCCCTCGCGGCGTTCTTGCTGTGTCCTTTGTTGCGTTGTCTGTTCTTGTCCGGACTTTCGTGTTGTTCAGGTCTTCGAGCCATGGGAGATTGCCCTGTTTGTGACTTGGCATCTGCGCTGGTTTTTGGCTTGTTTGTGCATCTTTTTTTTCCCATGCGTTGGTGTGTCGATGGTTGGTCGATCTTAGGAGGGCGCTTACGACGACTTGGAGGCGGAGGAGGAGATGGAGGAGGTTCCTGACTTCCTGAGTGGCAGGACGTGCCGGGACTGTTTTGCTTCTGTTCCTTTGGGTTTGGGGTTGGTGGGTGAAGGCTTCGGTTTTTGCAGTCTCCAGCTTAGGTCGAGGAAGCCGCGCCAGCTGGTGCCGGAGCGTCTCGGCATTGCTTAACGGGTTGTTGTTTGCGGTGTTCTTCCTTTGCCCTTTGTTGCGTTGACTGTTTTTCTCCGGGCTTTCGTGTTGTTCAGGTCTTCGAGTCGTGGGAACTCCCCCTCTAGGCATCTGCGCTGGTTCTGTTTGTTCGTGCTCTTTTTTCCACTCGTCTGTGTGTATATGGTTGGTTGCGTGGATGAGGAGTGGGTCGACGTCCCCGGCGGCGACGTGGCGCCGGTGACGCCGCCGCTCGTCGTATCTTGGCATGTGCTTTTGCGTGTTTGCCCTTCTGTGTTTTTTTTGTTATGTTGACTCTCTTCTTATTTCTTTTTGTCTGTCTGTCCTTTCTTTTTTGCTCCCTTTCTCTGTCTCTCCTTTTTTCGTTTTTCTGGACGTCGAGGTCGGGGGCGCGGTGGCTTCCTTCGTCGACGACCTCATCCTCTCCACTCCACCCGCTCCCCCCAACCCTTCAACTCACCGCCTCCGCAACTTCCCACTCGCTGCCTCAACTACCACGGCCACCCCCACCTTCGCCCCACGCACCTTCCAACTCTCTTCCCCGTCCCATCACCCCCGCCCCATTTCGCGGAGAACGACGTCAGTGGCTCAGTGGTTTGGGGTTGTCGTGTTGGGCTGAAGTCTACCGTGTTGCTGTCTTTTCTTTCGAGGCCACCCAATTGGATGGCCTCGCTGCGGCTTCTAGGATTCACTGTGCAGGTTTCTGCTTGTTTTTGTGGCTGTGGCTGATTCTTTGGTTCAGGCCCAGCTCGAGGTCGTCGCGCCCGAGCCTGCGCCTCCCGTCGTGGTGCGCTTAGTTTTGGGGTTGCTCGTTGGTCTTGCGGTTTGGGCTTCGTGGCTGTTTTTGCGTGAGGAGCTCGCATCCGGGTCGTCGGACATCCCAGCTCCTTGGTTCTTGTGCTGTGTGGTTTTGTCTGCTTGTGTTTTTGTTTGTGCATGCGTGTCAGTGCATCTGAGGTGATGATCCCGGCCATGGATGACGACGACGCGGAGCGGGCCTTTTGGGAGGAGTTGTTCCAGGAGGTCGGGGGCGAGTCTGGTTCAATTCGGACGGGTGAGCGAGGGTTCGGGCAGGGTTTGGGAGGGACGTGTTTCGGATTTGTCGGGTTCTTCCCTGGCAGGAACCTCCTCGGAAGAAGGTACGCGCCAGCACATACAACACGGAGAAAATGCCGTGTGACATGTGCTGGCGCTGCCTTTTGCAGCGCCAGAGGGGCTCCTTGGCTTACGTTTGGATTGGGGTTCTGTGGAATGAGTTTGGTGAAGTTTGGTGCTGATGGTTGTGTTGTTGGTTTGGGCGTTGGGGGGTTCCTGGGCTT